CTCCTTTTTTTTTTCCCCCTTTTTTCTTTTGAAATGGAGTCTTGCTAAGCCGCCCAGGCTGGAGCAGTGGTGTGATCTCAGCTCACCGCACCTCCACCCCCAGGTTCAAGCAATTCTCCTGCCTCAGCCTCCTAAGTAGCTGGGACTACAGTTAAGCGCCACCGTGCCCAGCCATTTTTTGTATTTTTAGTAGAGGCAGGGTTTCACCATCTTGTCCAGGATGGTCTCGATCTCTTGACCTCGTGATCTGCCCAAAGTGCTGGGATTACAGGCGTGAGCCACCACGCCCGGCCACGTTTTATTTTTTAACTCTTGAATGCAGAAATGTTATTGCTTACTGGTTAAAATAGAACATAGTATTTATATATTACTTTACTGCTTCATTGAAAATATCGAGGGTGGGATAAACAGAGAGATGGGGTTGGAAGGAGTTTGTAGCAGCAGTGTAATTTCTGTGCCAGATTCTGGCCAGGAGTTAAAATGCAGGGCATTAATATCTCCCCTCATGGATTTCTATGGTTCCTTTCTCGGTTGTCCTTAATGTTAGGTGCCCCTGGGCGCTGGGATTGCTCTAGCCTGTAAGTATAATGGAAAAGATGAGGTCTGCCTGACTTTATATGGCGATGGTGCTGCTAACCAGGTAATTATGTCTCTTAACTTCCCAATAACAGTCTTATTTTCAAAGTGTTTAATATTCACAGTTGAATTTCCAAAGAAGCAGCTTATTGCTTATTAGGTGAAATAGTAATTCCTATGGCTAGCTCAAATTTGGTTGACTTATGGCCAGATTAGAGAGTGACCTTTTAGCATTGTTTCACAAAAGACTTAGCGGGGCGCATTCCTGTGAAGGAGCTCACCTTTGCTCTACATCAGTGCTTGGTAAAGGACCTCCCCTAACCTATTGCAAAATGATACAGACCCATTCTCTTGGATGTCCGCGCTGGCAGTGTCAAATTCGGATAATAGTGTCTCAGTCCTAATTCAGTTTTTGTGCTTCTCTTGGTACCGAGTAATATCCAGTCTGTGGCCAGTACTCTGTGAAGCCCTGTTCTAGAGGCTGATTCTTAGGTGCTGGTTCACTCTGACTATCCAATGGGCCTGATAGATTTCATACTGATCTTTTTTCCAGTGTGTTCCTTACTGCTAGCATGGCCCCAAAGAAACAAGTAGTAGTTGGTTTGTCATCTTCCTTAGTTGCAAGAGTATGATGCCTGCTGCTTCTCATCTGTCACCCACCCCGCTTTCCCTCACCATCCAAAGCTCGGTTTTTTGTTTTTT